GCCGTCCCCCTGCCGCTCGGCTTTCCTCCTCCGTGCCGCAGAAGTGGCGGCCCCCGCTCTCCCGCGTCCTTGCCTACGGGCACCTACACGCACGCGTATGCGTGTGTGTACACACCCCCCCCTTCGTTTGTTCTCGCAGCCTTTAAGCGTGGCCGTCTCCCCCAGAAGCTTCCCGTGCACAGTCAGCCGCTAAACCACGGCCTCGTGTGCCCCCCCTTCCTCCTTCGGTTTAGGTGCAGCGGGAGCACCTGCTGCTAGGGTTTCTGCGACAGATTGCACAAGCCTTTGTGCTTCTGTAAGCTCACTGCTTTTCTTCGTTTACTGTCATGAATCAATGAGCAGTTTTCTTCCTTTTTTTTTTTTAAGCTCAGTCCCTTTTTTCTTAAGCTGGAAGAGATGCTACACATACTGTGTCATAAGAGGTAGTTGGGTTTTTTCAGGTCCTTTTAGGTCTAGTGGACTTAAACTAAGCTTGACAGCTGTAAAGCTTATTTGCAGGTAAGCATGTCTTCCAGGGGGAAAACAAAATAGATGTAATAAAAAAAAGGTAAATGCAATAATCAACTAACCAAAATCTGAAACTGTCAAAGAATTCTTATGAAGGCCAAGTAGCCGTGACACTGCACGTTTGTGAAAGAATGAGACTCGCAACTCCAAGTTGACCCGATGAGGAGGGCCTCTTGTCTCCTGGTGTTAAATCATTGACAAGGATAAAAAGCAAGGGGTGAATAAATGTGCCTGTTTTTCAGACCTGTGCAAACAGGTTTCTGCTTCCGTGTTTGGCTTGTAAGTGAGGTGATATGCCATCTGATGTTACAGGACGTAGCTCAAGTTCTTCTGTGTGTCCTGTGGCAACCTGGGACTCAACAAGAAATTTGCTTCTTCAGGAATCTATTTTGTAGAATTTAAACTCATTAATTTTGCTGCAAAGTTAATTGTTTTTACAGGGATGGCTAACTGGCATGAGCAGGAAAGAATAAAATTCAGCTCACTACTTTTGTGGTGACTGTACAAGTCAGTAGGAATACAACTTAATTTTTTTGCTCTCAAAATGCGTAGATGTGGTTTTAAATCACCTTGCCTGGTACCAGTGATTGGGAGTGCCAGCTGAGCAGCAGGTGCTGAAACAGGGTAGAAACTACAAAATCCAGGACTGTTTTACCAGTGGCTCTCCTCCTTCACAGTCATTCCTTGCTTTTTACTATCCCATGATTGACTGTCATTTCAGGCTAATTTGTCCGTTTCTTTAAGCTCTCCAGAATTATTGAAAAAGTTTTGCCCTATGAGCTGAGCTGTTTGCCATCCCACTAATAGTAGATTTTCCTGGATGCATAAATATTTTTCTCATTGGATGAGGTTACCGAAGTATGGATTTTTTTGATTGATTTTTCTTCCAGCATCAGGGAGGCATGGTTGGATTGAAAGTGATAGGATTTGAAAACTTAGCCGCAGGGAACAGAAAGCAGTTTAGATGCTGGTGGCAAGCTGTACCAGGCTATTACAGGGAAGAGCTGAAGAGGTCAGCGTCTAATAGGCAAGACCCAGGCTTTTGCTGGTGGGGTGTGCCTCTGACAGCCGTGCAGAGGACTCAAAAAAAAATTTAATGGACTTAAGACATCTGCCCAACAACTCCCTTTTCTCCTGGACCTGAAGTTCGCCACATGAAAGGACAACAGGAATATTAGACATAAGCTGAGACATTTTGGTGAGCTAAGGGGATCTGGTGGCACTGTGACTGACCAGTGGAAATAGCTGAGGCCATGACTGAAGACACCTTGTTTGCGTCTTAGTGGAAAGAGTTTCCCCTTTAGAGCTCATCCTGTAGTTGCATTCCTAGCTTTGCAGGCAGCTTCCTGAACATGTTCCTCTGTCTGTTATCATTTGCTTATTCCCCATGCACATTTTCCACAGGCAGCTTCTGGAAGGTACTTGTATTTAAAATACATCCCCTGGTTGCCCTACTATAGGTACATTCTGGCTACATCTGTCCTGATGTTTCCAATTTATAATTATTATATATTTACTATATATAATCATTGTATACATTATTACATATTATTTAGTATAATTATTAAGATTCATACACTGCAATAAGTTGAAGTACGTTAGTTTAAAAGAAAATTAAAGACTTCGGCTCAGATCCTGAAAATGTTTATAATTGGGAATTGTCCCAGTCAATAGAACTTGTAATTTATAGGAAGTTTGTATACGTAAATGTTCGTGGGGCGAGTCACTTTGCATGTCAACTACAGTAAGCTGTTTATGATTATTTTGACCTGGATTGAAGTTATTTTTTCTGCTTATTGGCAGATGTCGATGAATTAACAGCTATAAAACGAGAACTGAATTACAGAATTTCTGTTCAATCAGCGAAGTTGCTTCGTCTTCTGAAGCAGAAAGACAGGCTTGTGCATAAAGTCCAGAAGAACTGCGATATTGTCACAGCTTGTTTACAGGCAGTTTCCCAGAAACGACGTAAGTACTTTAAGCACTTTCCGCGTACGCGTGTACCAGTGCAAGTAGTTTATTTCATTGATGTGGGCAGTATTTCAATTAAGCCCTTGCGCTTGATTTAAAGTCAAGAGGCCAGGCTATGCTATTCCTTAGATATGACTGGCTTCCAGTGATGTCGGTGGCACCTGGGAACAGGCAAAGTTCAACTAGCTCAGTTAGGTGTGCCGCCGTAGCCTCAGCTGTGTGTATTGGTGCGGCACCCTTACCGCAGATTGTCTGCCAGGCTTTTTCAGCTTTAATTCATAGAAAGTCCGAGTTGAATTTTTTTGGTGTGCATGCTGTGTTTTACTGTGTGCTTTCATATGGGAGATGCTAGAAGTGGAAATTCTCACTGGAAACTGTAGACAGCCTATGCAACTGTCTTCCCAGAGCATTGTTAGTAGTGCATAACTCCTTTCTACTGAGGTGATTTAAGATGAGGAGTATTAGTAAAAACAAACCCACTTTCCTCAAGCCTCTTTATCAACACCTGTGTTTTTGGGGTTTCAGAGGGAATGTTTAGCCTCTTTAATTGTTTAGCCTTTTCTTCCAGCACAGTGAAACCTTTTTATTTGACTTGGCAAAGTGTCGTCTAAAGATAGGCTGAAGTGCTTTTGTTAGTTCTGCTAAAGTGAAACTGCACATAATGTCGTATGTAAAAATAAACGGAAATTATACCTTTAGAAAGGACATGTGAAAATAACCTAATGTTCCCTGTCTTATTTTTTCATTAACATGCAGCGTGACAGGTACAGAAATGTTCAGGTACAGTAAAAAAAGCATGGTCTTTTCACAAAAATGCCTGTAGGAGCTTTGAGGTGCATGTGAAAATTTTATTAAAAGAATCTTACTGTAGTGGCATGTGCTAATGTAGTTTAGTTAAGGGTTTGTCTATTACTGTGAAACTTAAATTTTTAAGCATTTAAAAGTGTTCCTTTGTTTTACTTAAACCTAGCATGAAAGTTCTTGGCTGTCACGCACTGCATAGGCGTATTTCTTCTTCTCACCTACTCTTTTTCTTTCTCAAGATCAGCTTGAATTGAGTACTTGGTGCCGTTAACACTTAAGCATATACCGTGGTCTCCTTTTAAATGAGACTACTTGAATTTTGCATGTGTTTAAGTATTTAGAGGATTTGACTATAAATTCTGAAGGTCTGAGCATCCCGACCTCTTTTGTTAGGTAAAACCTATTGACTGAAAGGGATATGGGATTTCATCCTAAATACGAATGTGTTTTTACAAATTTCAGGTACCATTTTATACTTAAATTTATGAACTAAATTTAAAATAATGCGTGAAGTAAAGTAATTTATGAAATTTTGAAGTAATGCGGTTTATTGCCTAATAACCATGCATGTGCATGCCGGTTTTTGAAGACTATGTGTAGGTTTGTATATTACATCTCTTTAAGTCAGATGTTTTTATTATTAATATAGCATATTTACCTAGTGTTAATTTTCAGCTTGTATCTCTGAAAATCCAGATGTATGTATTCCAGGGCACCTAAAACTTAGTTATTTCTTGCTTTAAGATCTAATCCAAAACCACTGGGATTTGTTGAATGACTCCTGATAACTTCAGTTGCTTTGGAATAGATTGAGACTGTGGTTTTATTGCTCCATATAAATGTATTAGCACTATACAGAGAATGCAGGAATAAGCTTTTGCCCTAGGATGTACAGCTTTAAATTTCCTGGTAATCGTGCCTTTGAGGCAATGTTTGATCAACAGCTGTCCAAAGGCAGGCAGAACTGGTCGTCTTCCCTCCAACCGTTTATTCTTGCCTTTGTACTGTTTCCTGTGTAGTGGTAGTAGGAACTCCTGTGTGGGATATAATGAATCAAATTGGAGAGCCGATCCAGTAAGGTAATTCCTTTTTTTCCCTGTTTCCAGTTTCTGCAGGGGGTGGTAGAAGCAGGTGCGCAGGAGAAGGTGATTGCTTAGAGTAGCTTGAGGAGTGCAGCTGATGAGTTAAGTCCTAAAGTCTCAGCAAAACTATTATGCTAACAGGGGAAAGATCTGTTTCCTCTTCTTTTAACTTCTAAAAAAGAACAGTTGATGTGATGGAACATTAACAAATGCACACCTCCCCCTCTGCCCCAAAATGTAGGAGAGTTTTTCTGCTCACTAAAGCCTTTGGAAACTAGATTTTCTGTAGACTACCCTCTCATTTTTAAATATTCCAAACATTATTATTAATTTGTAGAAGTTTTCATTGTTCCATGTTTTTCTGATGAAAGTATATCCTTTCAGTATAATGTTATGTGCCATAAAGCTTTATAACGTGCTTTCGTGTACAGCATTAACATTTTGATATCCTGTAGTACTACAATCTTTGTCAAGTAAGTATGGAGAAGTTGTTAAAAAATTTTTCCTTTTAAAGTATGTTTTTTTTAGTGGCAAATAAAAATTTCTTGGAGTTGTGTTATCATTAATTCTAACATCTCAAAATATAAGTAATTTTTTATACTGTTGTCACACTGGAAATTTTTTTCCTCCCATATATAGTGAAATCTCTATGTAGAGGTAGAACTCTAGTTTTAAATTAACCTTAAGTTCACCTTCAGATGTTTGAATGCTACCTTTAAGCAATCTGTACAGACCAATTGCAAACAAATACTGTTTCGGGAAAAAATGGAAATTCTGTCTTGATGGTTAATTCTGGCTTTGTCAGACCCTTTTTGAATACTTTCTGACGAATTCATTCCTAGTGGTAACTTCAGTTAGTTAGGAAATCACAGGGCTGATAAATTTGATCCCTTATTTTCTGATGAAATGATTATCATGCTTTAGTCTGCTTCTACAGAGGAAAAACAGGCACTGTTTAAAAAACTGTATGCTTAAAACTGTGTGTGTTGAGCATCTGCAAGTGTTGCAGACCACACAGGGAGCCATCCACGGGTCAGTTTTTGACCTGTGCTGGCTCTTGGTCTCTGCGCAATGCACAGAAGAGGCACGGCTCTCTGGCAGCTGTGGAAGCCCGTGTCTGGCTTGCTTGTGCTTCAATACCCAGCACAGCGCCTGCAGCATTGGAATTGCTGAATGGAAAGAGTAAACGTGGAGGAACAAACGGGCACCAGGGACGACTGCATAACTTACTGTGTTTTTCATAATGCTATTGACCCTTATCCTTGGTAGGTGATGGTTGTTTTGCATACAAATAGGTATTACCATAGAAAACAAAATTCACTGCAGAGTGAAACGCATTTTGGTCAGAAGCATGAATGGTTGTGGCTCTGTTGAGGGAGGACAAATTGTTCTGTTGGATACCTGCTAAAAGCAGTACAATGTGCTGTACTTGTCATTTGTAAGATATATGACTGACCAGTTTCATTTTAATAACACTTTTTAATCCAAATTTAAACACAATACTTCAGTGAAGAAAAGCACTAAGAGAGTAATCACAGTGATGGCCTGATGGCAAACATGGCTTCTGGGCACACATTTCTCTTACTTTTGTGATTTTTTTGACTTATTTGGAGTAAAAAGATATAAGTTTGTTCTGTAGCATTGCGAACTATTTCAAATCCATCTTAGAAAGCAGAGTGCTTTATGCACGTAATTATATCATTTGAGAAAAGCAGAATTCAGTAAAATATAAATCAAGGTTTTGCAGCTATCATCTAAAGAATATGCAAAAGACATCTCATTCTTTTCTCTCTTCCTGTATTTTATGTAGTGACAGCTTGCTTGTATTACTGAATGTATTTTGACTGATCAAATTGTAGACCAGAAGTTCCTTCAATCACAAATTTTGATTGCCTGTCATTTTAATTAAAAAAAAATGCATTTATTATCTATAAATTATTTATAAGTAAAATCTAAATTTTATTCAATATAAAATAACAAATTATATTAACAGAAAGTTCATTAATAGTCTCTTGTATTTTTAATGGAGAAATAATTTTAGTAGAAAATTTCACAAAGAGACCATTAATTTGGTGCTAAGTAGCTATGGTGCTATGTACCTATAATAACTTTAAATGGGTCTCATGCTGTGTTCAGAAAGACCCTTAGTATTCTCTGTTTTAATACTTGTTTAGAAACTAAGATTAAAGATAAGTATTATTCTTCTGCTATTTCAGCATTGGCTCCTGTGTAGAATTCTCAAGGATGACAATAAACATTAGCTGTCTAGTTTTTCTCTTCCTCCTCCTGGTTTGAGTTCATGCAGAGCCAGTAGAGGGAGACAGAATATTTTATTTCATGCAGAGATAGAGGTGTATATCTGGTTTTTGTAGGTTGGTGGCTTTCATATTGTTTCCTT